TTTGAAACACCAGCCATAATTGGACATATCTATGAGATAAATTTCTTTATTTTAACTGTAAACCTTCAGTTAGTAAGGCATGATATGAAGATCTAATGGAAATTTTTTGGCAAAGTCAATTTAATCTTTTTATCCCTCATGTCATACTTCTTCGAATGCTTGAGCCACATCAAAAAATATTGCTGAGCAATACTCTTTCAACTCAAATGCCTTCCTCTTCTTTTTAATAGTGCGAAGGACCTGTTCAATAGTACCATTTTTTCGCGAACACCGAAATGATGATTTAGTATAGTCTTGTATTAGTAGAGAAAAGGAGATATCTTGGATAGCAAAACTTTTTCAAAAAGTTCGGAAAGAACGAACAACGGGTTTGGTTATCATTAAAATCTGCGTCTTTTTACACACAATCCGGAAAGTTTTCTAGTTCTAGGCAATATTTGGTAGCTCTGTTAGTCTTTGTGGAGTTATGTGGTCGTAACCAAGCTTTTTTATACTCACCATTTTTTGCTAAGAAATTTATCCCAGGTGCGCCTTTTCTTCACATTTTAATGGTCTCTTCAGTTTTTCCCTAGTCGCTTGTAGTTTCATTTTCAGTGTTGGGGATCGATTATTCTGTCGTTCTCAGCGCAGTCTATATTTTTCGATTACTAGGTACTCAATTAATTAAGTGACAGGCGAAATGGTTTCTCAGCTACAATATATTTGGTTGTTCGAATAACTTGATCATACCTGGCGAATGATCGGAGCACAAATTTGAAATGGCATTTGTATTTATAAGGATTCTCACATCCAAAGTGAAGCAGGTATGCAAAAAATAGTATAATGAGTTTTGTCTAAAACTTAAATGAGTTTTCCAAAAGACATGGATGCCAGTTAATAGTGGCAGATATGCTTTGAAATATATTTATTTGTATATATTTTGTGTAATTAACCACAAAAAAAAACTTCACCATTATTTAGTACCTCACAGCGAAAATGATGCAGTAACAAAAAAATTAATATATTTCTTTTTTTAAAGAACTAAACTAAAATTGTATATTAATTAATATTTAGTAGGATACCCCTTTCTGTCTGTGATTGCTTTAATATGTTTGGGCATGAATTCCACTAACTTCTTCGTGTAGTCATTAGCAGTACTGTTCCATTCTGTTTTTAGAGCTTTTCTTAAGTCGGCTTGATTTCAAATCTCATATTTTCGAACCTCTCGTTCTAAAACTAGCCACAGATTCTCAATCACATTAAAATCTGGAGACTGCGCTAAGGTAATACTATGTGCGGACAGTCCCAAATAAGCCAACTTTGCAAAACGCCTGATTTGTGTTTCGGATCATTATCTTGATAGTACCGAAACTTGACACGAATATTTAATTTTCAGGCACTTTGCAACAAATTTCTTTTTAAAATGTCCAAACACACAATATTATTCATAGAACTATTGATGAAATCCAAATTTCCTACTCCAGAAGACGACATGCATCCCCATACCATTACACCCACCACCATGTTCTGGGTTACAGCTTTTTCCAAGATATTTAGGCACCTCTTTACCTAAAGATGGAGCACTTAAGTTGGGGTTTTCGCGTATTTTCCGTACAATCCATCGGGAATCACCTTCATCAAATATTTTTTTATGAGCCGTTTTAGTTATATTTAACACACGACATTCACGAACATAGCGTTCAATGATATGCTCAACAGTTCTTTGGTTCAAGTTCACCATTTCCGCGATTTTATGCTGACTTTTGCCGCTATTATTATCTTTTTGGATTAATTCGCGTTTCAATACCATACCCATTTTGATTCATAATCACTATAGTCTAAAATATCTCATATTGCACCAAGTTGGCTCGCAATTATAGCGGTATTGTCGACCAGATGCCGCCACTAACGGGAAATCTTTGCTTTTTTTTGTTGTAAATTACATAAAATAAACATAAAAAATGAGTTTTACAGTGAAAACGAATTTAAAAGTCGAAATGGATGGGCGGCCGTTGAAGTTAGTTATTTATATTACTTGGGTAATGTAGGCGGCGCCAAAAGATTAGGCACCATTACACACTTGCAGGAGAATTCTGAATGCCGACGGGTAGCTTGCTCGTAAGTACGTGCTTTTTTTCGCTGGCGTGCGCTTTATTGAAACAAAAGAAATTTATTTATACAAGAAAAAGTTTTTGCCAGAAGAAGGCAGTCGTGATTAATAAAAAGGGTTTTAGGCTCAAACGTTTGTGTAGTTAGTGTAAGAAGTCAGTCGAGGCGAAAATATTTCGCGTCTGTTTTTATTTTAGGGTAGTAGCGGAATTAGAGTTTGGAGGAATTACCGGAGGAGCACCGAAGTCGGGATGCACACCCGACCGAGTACCATAAGTATGTATCACATGTCTTATTTATTGTTTGGTAATTTTTTGTCGTGCGGACAGTGTCACTTCCCTCGTTACATCCTCACCGATCCTTCTATCGTCCCGCACCCATAGACCAGTCATACGGACGGGTTGTAAGGTTACCTCCGGCAGCACGGAAGTAGTGTGCCACACCTCTGGTGCACCCCAAAAACATATTTTGTTTATTTCGTGTTGTGGATTTATCGCCATTCTGCAATTTTTGTTTATTGCAAGTAGTTTTGTTGTTGTGCGTAGCTAGCGATCCTAGCCGTCTTGAGCGGTAGTTTGTTTTGACGTGTGTGGTTGATAGTAGGCGCTTGACCAACAGCCACTATAGGTATACATATGTATGTACGTATGTACATACGCACATGCATATTGTAATTGAAAAAGGTAAAGGTGACAAAATTAAGAGGCTATTAAAGCGCCCAGCCATGGCTGCGGCGGCTGAGCGACCAACGCCTCCAGTGCCTGCACTTTTTGCTCATGGACCAGCGCTACCTAAGGTGGTGGAGAGGTGTTCAGCAGATATGCGAAGCTAGTACCCTTCTACCACCTCAAAAGAGGTGATTAAGAAGGTCAGTGACCAAGTGGGCCCAATTTTGGGGTTAGTGTTCATGAGGCGAAGCTTTTAAAGGTCGTCGGGGGGATTATTCGCACGCCTTCTGTTTCCTAAAGGAAAGGGATGTGGGGTTATACGTGAGTGAACCGGAAGTTAGGAACCTTGACTGTGGATCCAAGGTATTATCTTTGTATCATTCCTGATGAATTCATGAGTGAGCTTATCAGCATGAATTTTGAATACCACATTCTTGAATGCCGACCGCGCTACATATGGTTGGTCAGTCGTTCTTGGGAGGTGATGCCTTATAGTACGACGAACGTTGTTTTGGAGGGTGTTGTCAGATTTATGTAGGCCTTATTGAAGATAAATTAATGTATGTATTTAGCCTGGCTTGGAGTGGTGTGCTACAGCTTTAGAAGTCCATTCCTGATTACCTGGAGGCTTTTTACCATAAATGCATATGAGAGGGTTACTTCCCACTTGGATGGAAGTGCGTTGGAGTCGTTCCCATTCCGAATTCCTCGTTAAGATCAGGAGTGATCCTCGATCTTATTGGAACATCAGTCTTCTTCAAGTTCTTCGTGGGTTATGTCACGTATGGCTCTGTTGTATAGTTTGAATCAGCGTCTCTTCTCTGTACCAAAGGTGATGTTATTATCTTGTGTGCTTGTGTGCCGCACCGTCTCTACCAAGGTATTACATCGTGCTGTAGGCTCCAATCTGAAGAAGGGATTCAGCGTGGAGTTTCTCCTAGCTGGATGGTTATCTGATTGGGATGTGGACCGTGTGTACTTAGAATGCTGTGGGCTTCTAAGAGAGTGCGTTCTATGCGCGCATGACATATGCGTACATTCAAGATGTTTCGTTTGTAGTAGAAAATGCAAATTTCAGATTTTCTCTGAGAATGGGTTTTCTACTAACCGGTCATCGACCCCTCCATGCCTTTTTGTTGTATACCCTCATAATTTTTTTCTTACAGTCAGTGAGCTTGTATTTTTACAAATATTAAAATGAACGTCAGTATGTCAGCCATGCACATAATATTGTTACGATTTTACTAAATCCCCTCGATTATTTTCTAGATCCTTCTGGTACGATCTCTGGATTGTTAAATAAAAACTCGCCAACTTAATTTGCAGTTTTTTTCGTTATAAAGATTCTATCTAATGTCCTTTATTTTCTCAGTAATTCACAATTCAATTATACTGCACTTTACTATTTATAATCACTAACATCAACTTTCACAATTTACTCTACTTAAATGTAATTCCCAACGCGTTCACTTTACGTCTTCACTGATGTTAACGCCAACGAGTTTTTGCTTTTCACTAACTTGACTTGCAGCTGAGTGTCGCCTTTATATAGCACTCGGCTGCTCGCAGACGAAAGCGTAGAAGCATCGAATTGTTCGCTATGGAAGGTTCTTGTTTTATCGTTTCTAGAACGTACTAGTTATCGGCTTCTCTCTTTCATCTGACATTCGCCTCGCATTTTCGCAACAATATGAATCAAAAAAAAATTGGCCTGGAAAGGTGCAAATTAATATATATTTCAATATTAAAATAATTAATATTTAAACATTTTCATAAGCAAACAATGTGTTTCCAATTCTAGTTATATTTTGCAATGAAGGATTGTATTTGAATAAGCGGGAGTAAGTTAGCAATTAATCTATTAAATACATATTATCTGTACGAAATTTATTCATTGAATGCACGTATTGAAATTCTTGTTTAAAGACGAGACAAATTTTTGGGCTTCGATACCATTTCAACCTCTACGGTTGGGTAAGTTTTTCATTAGTCGGTCTATCAACATATTGCTGGTATGTCGCCAGCTCGTCGGTGACAACACTGAATTGAACTGAGATTATTAAACTGTGTGTTTACTATAAAAAGCTGAATAACTAATTTTGGAAATTCTGATTGACAATCCAGTGCTCGATCGTAAGGGATTTGTGTAATCATCGTGGTTAAATAAAAACTATCGTTATTATAATATACAGAGCATACTTTTCTGTTTGATTCTAAAATTGAACTTTCAAAATTTCGTTACAGCGGTGCATTTTCTGAGGTGCGATTAGCTGAGAGTAAAGAAAATCCAGGTGAACATTTTGCGGTTAAAATAATAGATAAGAAGGCTTTAAGAGGAAAGGAGGAATCACTTGAAAATGAAATTCGAGTGCTTAGGCGGTAAGTAAGACAGAAAAAATATGCACGTTTGTAACGCAAGTAAATATACATACTCCTTTGGCATCAGTAGAAATAGCAGTTCCCTTGCATACAAAGCTGTAGTTCGTACCTACTATGCCGAGGTTAATTCCTTTAATTACATACAATTTTAATTGGACGGTTCAACCAAATACTATGTGCAACAGAGATCTAACGAAAATAATTCCGTAAAAAAATATTTTGATTTACTCACCAGTATTAGCTTTTATTTTTTTTTAAGATCTATGGGGAAAGAGAAGGACTACAGAACGGCATACTATACATTACTTTTATATGCACTGCTGTATCGCAAAGGGAAGATAAGAGTCTATTCACTCCCTTATAGATTTTTTTTGACATGGGAAGCATCACAACAAGTAATCAAATCTTAAAAGCTCATTTGAAAAAATAGCCCTAGAAATGGCCGGCTGGCTCATGGAACTAATTAAAAGGGTAGCAAATACCTCTTCTTCAGTCGGGTTAGACTTTTTGCAGAGGCCAGGGCATCTGTCAAATAGTCCAATTTCAATTCCTTCTTTTATGGTGCGGATATTTAGGTCTACGAAGGGAGTACCAAAGTTCAGTAAGTTGACCAGAAAAAAATCAATTACTAATTTTTGTCGTTTGTTTATTTTCTGTACATAATCGCCATTGATTTTAATACATTTCTATAGATACATGGGTGTAATAGGGTGTAGTCAAGCTTCTGCGTTTGAGGTTATAGCTGCAAGGCTATATTCAAATCCTAATCTTGCGTTCACGTCACGCATTCTGGAAACGTGAGCAGCCCTTGTGCAAGATGCGGTAATCCACGTTTGGAGCCTTGGGTTACGCCTAATGAGACTTGTTTTAAAGGTTCACTGAGTTGCGGCTGAGAGCGGGCGTCGGTCTTTTAGCAATCGGCTCGCTATATAAAAGTATACAAACTTTAAAAGTTTTTACATGCCTCGAATGAGAGACCCCTTTTACGATGAGGACCCCCGCAAACGTTTAAGGGATCACGATATGAGGACAGGCATCGGAAATGTGCGATCCCTTAACTGGGAAGATGACCCTTACGAAACGAGTAGATTATTGGGACATCTACTACAACGGCCATATAAAGAAGCACAAATTTTGTGCATGATTTGCAGTAGAAGGAGACTCCGTCGGCGAGTACTGGCATTCACCCTGGTGGATGAACGTCTCGCCAAAATCAGCGATCCGACTGAGAAGAAGGACGATTTGGCCAAAGATGCCTTTAATAAGCACCTGAAGCATATTTATTAGCGCTGCCCCGACACGATGTGAAACTCGTGCTTGGCGATTTGAATGCCAGAATGAGCAAGGAAAGTATCTTTGGTACAACTGTTAAGCCATCACAACGAAACATTTTCTAATGGGTTGGCCTGATCGATTTCGCTGCGGCCCAAAATATGGTTGTTTGTAGTACTAGATTCCAGCACAAAAAAGAACATCAAGCTACTTGGCTGTCACCTGATCGAAAAACACAAAACCAGATTGATCATGTTGTGCTCGTAAAATATGTCTCCAATTGGCTTGACGTGTATACACTCCCAGGACGCAACATCGACACGGTCGACTGGTGTCAACAAACAAAAGAAAAGTTCTACGACGAAAAGCCGCAATTACAAAAGATTTCCGAACGATTTTCCTGTTCTTTTAGAGCACTCGTGAGCAACACGGTATACGGGAACTGTGGCACTGTATTTCAAGCTCCATCTGTACAGCGAAACTATTGGATTTCGGAAAGGTCCCAAAACCAGCTGTTACGATGAGGACCTCCATACCGTAGTGAAGAGAGAACTTGGGAAGCTACCCGACAGAGGTTAATGCTCGAATATATATATGAAAAGATGCCACCACATACAGAGGGTTTCTAGACCGGAACAGACTCCTGACACAAATAGGTGGTCTAGCTACCGATGCTCAAGGTATATTGTTTTTATGGAGGGAACTCCAGCCTGTTGAAAAGCAGTGTAAATGAAATATCCGAAGATGGCGAGCCTTAAACATCAATCGATGACGATGGAAAAGACGTTCCCTTACATGGCTGCGAAGAAGTTCGAGTAGCAATCGCTATTATACAACGCGGCTGGAGCTGACGGCCTATCGGCAGAACTATTCAAACATTGCGGTGAAGAGCTGAAATGGGGCATGCATCAGCTACTTTGCAGAATATGGTCGGTACCAAACCATTACCATGTCAACACTGATTTAATGGCCGCAGGTTAAATTACAAAAAAACTGTTCCCAACACAACCGCTGACGCATCATTCACTAAACGAGATGCGCAAGCAGCATTCATCTCCCCGAATGCAACTACATACTCAATCACATTTAGTGGTGTGCGTTTTGTGCTAACCATAGCTACGGTGACGGCACTGTTTGGTTTAGCCCTTTGGACTGGGCTTAATGCTCTATCCCACTCAATTTCATCTATGTTATATACAGGTTACCTGTATTTTTTGACGGGATTTCTTTTCTGACACTTCGTCTATTTAATTTCATTAAAATTAAAAGTTTTTTTACTTGAACCAAAATGTGTTTGAAAAGACGTTTCGCTGTTTGATCGGGTTTGAAAGTAATGCATTTTTGTATTAAATAAAATGACATTTGTACATTAACTTCCAACTTAATTTTATTACTTTGCAGATTGGAATAAAACTATTTGAAAGCAGATGCAAAAGTCTAAAAAAAATTCCTTGATAAGTGTAATTGTGCATGTACTTAAAATAACAGAAAGACGCCAAGTGAAAAAAGTGAAGTGCGATAATATGTGCATAGAAAAATGTATATAGAATAACAGTTTATGGCTCTATAAAGTTCTGACAAGAATCAATTTTCTATTTTGGTTTTATTCCAGATTTTCTTTTACTCTCACCCGAGGGACGACAGCAAATGATATAAATATGTTATTTGTATATGTACCATTTCAAAAATATATGGTATATTAATTTGTATATATATCTCATCATGATATAATCCGAAATTTGTATATATGTACATAAATACTTATCTGTAGAATGTAGGAAAATATTTTACAGCTACATACATATGAGTATATACGAATAAGAAAATAAAAGTGATGAAAAAAAAGCATATTTGAAAACCAGCCCTGCGCCGGCTCACATAAAAAATTAGAAGAGTATAGCTTTATATATATTTTCTTTTGGAGTAAACCTAATGTCTACAACAAGGATGTATGATCACACCTGTCAGAAATGCCAATGCTTTACCCAGTTTTTTCTAACTAATTTTGAGCAAACGTTTTCTTAAATTTTCTAGTTTTTTACCCAGATTTGGTTGGCAGGGTCGACTCTTGAAATAAATTAAGTGCATATTGACAGTTAAAAATTCAATAGTAAATGACTTTATTTTAAAATAAAAATAACTAAACATGACCTATGCTAATACATTCATATTTATGTATTTACATATATTTAAAATTTATTCAAAATGAAAGTGAAAGTTTAATTTAAAAATACTCTTGTTAACTCATTTTGCGTAAATTTAAAATATTATGTTCTAAATCATTTTCTTGAAAATTAATATTTAAATTTTTAATTGTTTATTGGAAGAAAGAAGTGTTTTTTTTCTGAAAGTAAATTGTGTTGTGTTTCATGATTAAAGGAAAACCGTTTTTTTTTTGTTGTTGGACATTTACCAATATACGTACATACGTATGCGTTTTTTTATTTCTAGCTGCACTTGACTTGGGATACTCTCAAATAATCGCTTATTTGCAGGCCTATTCTTTCGAGGTAACAAAATTTACTTTGGTATTAAAATTTACCATTCAGTAAATTTTGTTACTATTTCGTATTCTGGGCTCACTGTTACCCTGTAAATTTTGTTACCAGCGAAATAGGAGGTAACAAAAATATCTGCTGTTTGATTTTGTGTTGTAAGTTTGAGAAAAAATAAAAAACCAAAATGGGTAGGCATATTTTAGGCCTGGAATTCATTGAATATGAAAAAAAAGTGCAAAAAGCCGTATTTTAAGAAGACCAAAAAATAGCCCTTCAATTTGTAAGATAACGTTTTCATCCTACTTTTTTTTGTTGTTCAGGCATATTTTCCATAATTAGGTTCAAATATATATGATTTAATAAACATATTAATAAATCTTTTTAATTTTTTTTTTTGTGCACCATCTTCCATTTCGATGTGAATATTTTTCTTTTTACTTTACCAACTGGCAAATGTAATTTGACATGGATGAAAAAAGCAGTGCTTCCAAATTTTTTTCAAACATTGTAACCAGTTCGCCAGTATACCAAATTCAGTTTCGGGTGTCAAGGAAAAGTAACAAAACAGTGAGAATAGGCCTGTTAATATTGAAAAAACGAAATCATTATCCATCGAGACGAAAATAATAATTAATAAATACTATCCAATTCCGGCCATAAAAAGTAATTATCATCTCTCGATAGCGCAATCCAATCATTTTTGAAAGAGATAGGTCCAATGACCCCGCTGAACCATAAACCATATCAAACAGAGGCTTTTTAACAATATATATTTTGTTTTCCGAGCCCCAGATGCAAAAGTTTTGCATATTGAAGTAGCCATCGATGTTGAGATGGTGCCCATAAAGCGTGTATTTTATGCGCTTTGACACTTTTTCTGTCCAGACAAAAATTAAATTATATATAGTTTTTCTCAGTGCGGTCAAATCTCGTCAATAGATACAATAACTATCATAAAAAGCTATCAGCCGAAAAAAAACTATTGCATACTTGGAGACTCGGCCACAAGTTAGGGTGGCTTTCTTTGTTTTGTAATTGTAGTAACTAAACATGTATAAATATTCAATTCTTATTATGTTATTGATCTAGCTACGTAATTAATACTAATAATAAACGATTAACTACCCCCGCCCAACTGAACGAGAGGCAAAAGTTTTTAAAAAGCCGATATTTAAAATTATTCAGTTAAAGAAAAAATTTTTATCCGGTGAAACTAAATAATTCAAAAAGTTTATACGATAATTGTTGAGAAACCCGAAAATTGTTTAATAGAAAGTTAGTCTGAGAGGTGAAAGGTGCTGGAATGATAATTAAAATCGTTACATAAGATGTTTCACAAAACTGTAGCAGGAGAGACCTAAATTTTTTATAGATCCATTAAGAAGTGTGGCTACGAACAGTAATGTCCGTTGTATATATATATGTTTCTTTAAATAAGTTGGTCATATTAAATTCTAATAAAATTCGTTAGTCTATTCTTAAACAAGAAATTTTCATCTATAAAGAATATTTATTACATTTTCATATCAGGTGCTGGACCGTATGTAAATGGGTTCTTTTGTTATTTTTAATAGCCTGCCATTCCGGTAGACTTTTAAAGCTGTGGGATTGCGAGTGTTTTAAGAAGTACGAATTGTCTTCTCGGCATTCAAAACAGAACGAGCGAACCATCCGTACTTTATTTTCAAAATGCTGATCACAAGGGAGTCTTATTTTATTGCAACGAGTTCACTCGCTTCTGTATCTTATAACTGGGGTTGCCATCTAATTACTCGTAAGGTACGTGTACACGTATGTCTACTATTATACGGTATTTCCACGACAGCCCAATTACGTGCTTCGCTCTCTCAATCATAATTCGCACTTCAAATACATGTCGAATGATATAATTCGCCATACGAGTTTTCGTGAGCGAATTACAGTAAAAGCGTGTAGTTCGCTCTCAATTGCCATGCGAATTACAACCGAATTGATCTCTTCTCTGATTCTCATCGAAATTTTATCGAAACCGGCTGACAAATCAAAACAAAAGGGAGGAGAATCATAAAAAAAGACACTAACACACAAACATAAATTTGAAACCAAAGACTATTTGTATATTAAAGATAAAAAAATTAGAAATTATTAAGGAAACTGGAATTACATTATCAATTCAATTCAAGATTTTGTTAACTCATACTAAATTCTTTCCTTTCCACACGCTTTCAAATGGAGCTAAGAAGCGAAACCGTAAACTGTCGAACTTAAATTAGTATTTCTAACAATATACTTCAGACCTAGTTTTTCTTCTCTCCTCCATATTCATAAGAAGGCATTAAATTTGTAATTGGTCAGGTGCGTCTGTAAGGTATTTGTGTATGTTGATATCCCTCAAAATCTGCTGCTACATACCTATACGGTCCTTCGAATTTAGGAATTTGTTTTCATCATCTGATGATGTGAATTTTCGTGGTTTTTGGCGTTTAGCACCTTAAAATTCTAAACTTGCTTTGTAAAATTTTCAAAAACTTTTCTGTAATATTACATATTGTAACGTACCCGGTTCTCTGGTCTATAGCTGGGCTATGTCTTTCCTCTCCTACCTCTCCTATAATTTCGATTTCCAAAAGCACAAAGCAAAGGACAACACGAATGGTTCTACGTTTACACAATTAACGTTATTATTTAAATATTTTACTGGCAGAGGTTTCACGGCAGCCGTATATCTTAAGCCGTATATTTCTATTGGCAGCGTTTCCACGTCAGTCGTATACTTCTATCTACTCCGACTGTGGTATATCAATCTACGACAGCACAAACACAAGTATCGTATCACTGCTGATGCTGCTCCTTTTATACTAAATTTGCTCACAGGCGGATAGTTATGCACTGCGTTTTGCTGGTAGGCCTACCGCCTTCTCCCTTACCTGTTTAACAGCGATGGCTCGCTATGCAACATATGCATATGTACGTATACATATGTATATATATGTGTATATGTATATTTAGATATGTAGGTATATATATATATATATATATATATATATATACATATGTATATATATGTGTATATGTATATTTAGATATGTAGGTATATATATATATATATATATATATATGTAATTATTTCTATGCGTTGCGTATATATGTATTTCATGTTATATGTATATATATGTTGTAACTTCTCTGTTGTTGTTGTTGTTGTAGTTGCTGTGGAGGCTCCAACGCTTTGGACTTGGGGTCTTTACAATATATGTTGCTATCATAATATTGTCTAGGAAAACTATTACTTCAACACTGATGATGATTTGATGATGTCCACAAATATTTTTTGAAAAGTTGTGGTTGCATTTTTCAGCCCAAATGGCATCCTCACAAATGTAAAATGCCCCAAAGGTTCAGTTAAAATGGTGATATGATTGGATTCGGACTTACTGTGGTACTACGATTATCCAATTCTTTTACTAGCATGGTTGTACATAAAATAGCCTCTTTTTTCCTCCCTTGTCTCGTAGACTCAATGATTCTCCTCCGCATCTGAGTTATGCTCCTGCCTTCGCTAAGTACTCCACATCAATCACTATCTCGTCAACAAGCTCTGGTAGGACGAACAACTCAATCTTGTGAGTAGGCCGTAACGTCCGCACCTCAAACAAAAACTTCTTCATAATCGTGCTGCGACAGCCGTTGGCGAAATACCCGCCTCCGCCGCGTCGTTTACATGCGGTTCGAGGGTCTATATACCTCCCTTGCTGATCTGGTTTGCGCTCTTTTCCCCTTGGTGTACTCATGTTCCAATCTTCACGTAATTGCTGGTAGCGCTCTGCCCCGTCTTGTCGACGGGTCCTCAAACCTCTTTGGTTGCTCTCTCCTTTCGTTACTAGGTGAGTACTCATAGCCCTTTTCTTGGTCTTCGTCCATGTTCGTAAGCTGGTACCGCTCTGCTTTGCGTCTGGGTACAAATCGTCGCGCTGCGGCTCTTAATAGCTATCTTTCGGGGAGAAGATTCTCGAACCAGAGCGTAACTTATTAACTGCTCACCCGGTCGTTGGACGCGTCCTCGTATCTCGTCGTCCAGTTTCTCAGAACCGCGGGCTAAGGAAGAAAATCAGGAAGTCCGTCTTAAAAGTGTACCATTCTTGCTAGTGCCGATCTTTGCTCCAGAATCATACGAGAGCTTTGTCCTTTAGTAGCGTCGGGATTGAATTACGACTAATATCGCAAACTTCCGCTAATTCTTCTACCCGCTCGAAAAATCCTAAAGGATATTTACCGCCTTCGTAGCGGAATCATATTTCCGTACTTTGTCCATAATCTTCGCATATGAAGATGTCGCTGGTACGTACACTTGTTCTTCTTCGTGAAGCATGCTGCGTGCTTCCTCGTTAAACGTTTCTGATAATGGGACGCCTTCACTTGGTGTCGCTGGATTTAATATGATAGTCGGCCGAGTATGTACGATTTCTCCTTCATTCTGGTTCTGCAGGAAGCTCGCAAAGCGTTTGCGCAGCTCCTCCACTGTTCCGTATTCCTCGAACCCAAACTCTTACGCGTACCTTAAAGCTCGTCTCGGTTGAGGTAGTACACCTATGTCACCTTGACCGTGGCTACCTCGTTATCTCGCCTGATGTCTTTTTCTTCTTCTTTACTTTAGAATCCTCTTCTTCTTTAGAGTCCCTGCTCAGGTGGCAGATGTAACGGCCATATACAATAATATATAAATATATATATGTATTTAATTTTTAATATTATACTACAACAATTGTTACTTCTCGTGTGGGATTTGGAGGTGAAATCCTATACTAGCCCCCTTTCCAGTGAGGTGAAAACCCTCAGTGGAATATAAATAAGTGTTCGTAAAGTGAAAACCCTCGGCTTTTATATAACTCTGCTTCAACTGTCGAAACGACCACATTAACCGCTAATTCAACTGCCGAAACGACCAATTGATTGTGAAGTTAAGTTTTCGCCATGGAAAATACTGGTATGCACTATTATTTTAAAGTAATTATCTTAAAAATTATATATTTACAAGAATTAGTTGTTGTCCGCAAACTAGTCATCTGCATACCGTGTCTCAGTTTCGTCATAAAATTTTTTTGTCCTTTCTTTTAAATTCCTTTTTTTGAAAAAATGTTGTGCCATCTGCACTAGCACAATTAAATCTATTTGACATCCCAAAAAATCTAGTAAATTGTCGTCACAAGCACTTTTAAGTAAATACAGCAGTTGGCCGATCAGTAGCAAGTAGCATAAAAATTTTACGCTCACAAATATGAATGCACCCAATGTTTTGTTTAATCTTCCACGCATACATTGCATAAAACGCTAGCTTGCCTTATAGGTCGGAATATTTGTTTAGCTGTTATCTTAATGATTTATACAAGTCCTTAAGAAAATTTTCCCGTACCACTTTGTCGAAAACTGATTGTACAAAAACGGTGGGAAGCTTACAATAAATTATTTTTTTTCCATCTTTTTAATTTTATTTCTATTTTCTGGAGAGCATGATTTATAAAGATTATTTCTTTATTTAGATTTACCACTGTTCGTTTTGGGTATTGATAGGGACCGTAATTCGGAATCTGAAATCACCTAAACTTTATGTCCTCAAAGCTAGATTATATAGATATCGAAAATGTTTGTTGTTATTACCGTAAGAATCAACGTGAAGCAACTAATAATGCAAGTTCTTCATTTTAAAGATATTAGAGATATAAACTGTAGACGTTTATAGGAGCGTTTTATGATTTTGTTACAATTCTTCCTTCTTTTTCACTTCCTTCTTTTCTTTCTATAGGTTCAGTGCCAATGATCCCGAGAACGGACCGTGGTGAGTTTATTCACATTAAATCATTTTCTGAAACGCTTATCTGCTATGTGAGCATGAGCTCCCTATATGAATACTTTTTATCTTATACTTGAAATTAAGAAGATATTTAATCCTCTAATTTGTGCTCAAAATTTTTTTTTAATTTCAACACACTTTCCTTTGTCATTTTAAATGTGGTATAATCGGGATAGTTTTCATCTTAGAATCACTTCATTCTAAAACAATGTATCACTAGTCACTATCATAAAATATTATAAGTTCTCCTCCGGATCTGTCTGTTCACGATCAAAAGCTACTGAACGGATTCTTATTGTATTTTTGAGGAAGGTTTATGTAATTGGTTTGTCAAGTTTTATGCAAATATTGTTTAAATCTACACCTTCTAGGAAATCTCATTTAATGAATTCAAAAAGTACTCAATCGATTTTTATGTTTATTTTTATCAAAAATTATAAACCAGTATTTAGCAGTAAGTTAGTAACATACCAAAATATTCGAAAGTAAAATTACAAATAGAAAGATCTTATCCGTGTGGCGCCATGATTAAAAGAAGAAAAGGGTACCATTGATGAGCATCTGAAGCATACTTCTCTGCCATGCTAAGATGGTTGCAGAAGGCATTCCGACACAACTTTCCGAGAAATCAGTCTACGTCGCGAAATATTTTTAAGAGAACCGCAAAGATGCGTACCATTTGTGTGCCACAAAAAAAAAAGCTAGTTACCAAAAGGTGAAATCTCAACAGACAGCCGAACAGTTTTCAACGCACTCATCAGTATCTCGGTACAAGGGAACTATGGGACGGTATTTTCAGCACTCTACGTACAGCTGCAAGCAGAACTTTCAGTCTTTGGGAAGGTATAAAAACGAGACGATGACAATTGCTAAGCCATCGTTTGAAAATATGCCCGACCACGCCGAAAGTTGAAAAGAGAAACGAAACACAATTGCGGACAAAATTTTTTATATTACAGAAGTTACATGCAAATGTTGTTGTTGCTCTACTCCGCTTAGAGACAGGCTAGTTAGTCTAAGTCACAAAGGAAATCCAACGGGAGATCCAGGAAATGGCCTGTTTCGACGGGCTCGGACCAGAGGGAGAGGGGACCAGCTGAGTCGTATCTAGGAGATGGCTAGTGCCATGCAGGGTCTTGAAGACATACGTTGGGTATGCTGGTGTCAAGTCTGGATATGTAGGAGTATACTTACTTACTTACTTACTTTACTGGCGTAGACACCGCTTACGCGATTTTGGCCGATTTAACAATGTTTCTTCTTTTTGTTGTTTGGCGCCAACTCGAAATACGAAGTACAGCCAGATCCTTCTCTACCCGGTCTTTCCAACGGAATGTGCCATGAGTGGGTGATTTAACCAGTACGCCATTCACGGAAGTTAGTATTTGAAGGACGACGGACCGCCCGAATGCTCTGTAGGTTGCCAGCAAGGTTTAGCCCAGGTGCTGACGGCTAGCGCTTCTTTCAACCAGGACAAAAATTTCTCACAGACCGACCAATACATTAAAAAATATTTTTGATAGAACTAAATCAAAATTAACAAATTCGGACAAAAGTAATGTAATTTACGAAATCATATGCAATGGTAATGACAATGACACATATGGAAATTTATACGTGGAAACAAAAAAATTAAAGCTAGAATCAAGAATAGATCAACAAAAATATGACTATAAACTACGTCATCAAACGAACACACACAAAACAGCACTCTTACACCCACTGTGCACACACTCTCTAAATTTTGACGAAGTGAAAATTCTTCAACCAGAGCAACAAATATGTAAAAAACACACCAACAAACATAAGACAAAATTTCAAAACGGACACTGATAATTTGCTAACGAACGAATAAACAGTAGAAAGCTCCGCGTCATACTGATAGAATATGTTAATCAATGTATGTATGAGTATTTTATGTAAAATTTATTAAATAATATAGTTGATTGTTTTAATGTTATTGTACATTAGTTACCCTGAAGACGGTTACCGATGGGTAGCCGAAATATATCGGGTGAAAATATTACTTACATTGTTTTTATTTATTTGGACCTCAAACCGGAAAATTTTTCTATTCATGATATAAATATGATAAGAAGAAAATGTTCAAAACTCTTCTCAAAAGCTTTTTTTTAAAGACAAGCTTCGCTCAATTTGAAAAACTTATAACTTTTTTTCTTCTATTTTACACTTTAATAAGACCACAGTGATATAAAAACTCAAGTATTCGTAATTTGACTAATAAAGACGCCTACGTCCACAACTCCTATGTGTTTTAATCAGTTGCCATGTTCATTGAAGCCTAGACACTTGTAGACATTAATTGTCTCTCGTTGGCTGCTTTTATTAAGCACGCACGCATGTACTAACCACTTAGGGGAAACCTTTTTCCTAAGTCTTATAATTACTATACGTAGTATAGTGTCGTAGGTTACTGCGAGGTTAACGTCTTCGATCCATAGTTTCATGTATCCAATATTAGTTTCAATTTTTTCAACAATGCTATGTATATATGTATGTGTTGGCGTCAGTGCCAGTAGTATTATCAAGAGCTCAGGATCCATTTCACCTGAAAATTTGTACCTTGGAAGAGTTTATGTTTGGTAACTTTAGTTTTTTTTTTACCCCTCCTAAGCCTGGGTGTTAAGCGGACCGTGCCTACTGGTTGGTTTGCAGATGGGAGAGTCAAAAACTAGCTGTAGTATAAAGGTGCCTTCTCGACATTTTGCTGCCTCAGGATGGATCGGGGGCTTTACTGAGGCATGCTGCGCGGCTTTAGCGGACGTATAATTTAGGGTTTCGACTTGCAAGTGGTCGCACGAACAAGATAGTGGTCCTAGCGGTTGCTTGTTGCACTATTCCTTCATGGAGTCGGCCACTGGTACGCTGAGGATGTGGTTTAACATCTATGTGCAGTAGAGTTGGCATTTTGTACATGTCAACCTGCAAGTAATATGCATGTTTGAATCTGTCAAGCAAGCTGTTAACCGTTTTGGAAATACTTGCAAAGGAAACCTGCAGTCCTACAAATACGTCATCTAGACTTTTGAGCTTGACTTCGAGTGAGTTCGTAACGATTTCTTCTTTGCACTTGCGGAATCTAGCGAAGTAGTTTTTGTTGTACCATCTGGCATCTCAAAAATTTTTGTTGCATGCTCTTTCATTTGAAAGGTTTTTAAAAAGAACAAGGAGAAGTAATAAAAAAAAGAAAATTGAAAAATACCTACCCAGCTGATAGTAAAATCAATAATTGTATGCCCACAGAAAATATGTAAATTCCGAATTTACAACGTTTACATAGAATTCCGGCAGACGGCGCTGCAGTTAATAAGGCGCAAGGTCAAACAATGACGGTTTGTGAACTAGATTTAAAAATCCGTGCTTTTCTGACGGCCAATTATACGTTGCGTACTCGAGAGTGGGGAAACCACCAAATTTATTTATTCATACGTTAGGCATTGTAATAAGTTTCTAATACATTTTTTTATCATAACGGTCTCATTGTTTACATTTAAGACGTACGGATAGGACAACGTCTCTCGGGTCCGCTAGTATATATATATAATTGGCGGTTTGTAACCGCTGAAGCGATTTTCGGCCGAATCTCTGCTCCAATTTATGGGTTTGCGTCTTGATGTTTTTTAACAAATGGAGGGACCTGCAGTTTGCACTAAGCCGCCTCCCAACAGCTGATGGTTTTTTATGAGGAGTTTTATTTCATGTCCAAAATACACTCAGAAGGGTGGACATACCCTGCCGAGGGGCGACCGCAATTAGAAAATTTAAACTAATTTTTTATTTAAATCAACTTACGACAGGATTTGAACGCATATATGCAGTGGTGGGCAGGAATGATAACATGTAATAAGAAATTATATCATTTGTTTTATGTTTCACTACAAAAGTTAAAACTACAGTAAATGACATTTTTACCTGTCATGGCTTATGCAAGAATTCAATGAGTTTCAAAAGTTTTTCAAAAGGATTTTTATGACTTCTCAATATAAAATTTCTCCCGATAAACTCTTAAATAATGACTGGCGGCAGTTGTTAAACCAATCCGATATGGTGATGAATGAAAGCATTTGGCCTCCAATAATGATTTCGATTCGCGTAGTGGCGTGCGAAAAAATGATGGCCAATAAACGATCAATAAAATATTATTGGAAGCGGAAAATGCCTTTGGATCGAGACATACCGGACACAACCCTTTTGGACGAGAGAATGTCCCTTAAGAGGAAATTACTTTATTAATTAGAGACATATGTGTCTTTCGAACAATACATAGTTTTAATTTCAGGACTAATACATTGTTCATCTTCTCAATTACGAATGCGAATTACACCCATTCACGGGGCACAATTTGAAATTGAAAGAGTTTAGTATAACCTAATAGAATTTTGAAATGAACTGGTAATGTAAATGACAGTTTCTTTCATATACAAAAAGTGTTTGGTTACAAATAAGTGCTTGTGAATAAGTAATTTCTTTTATTCATCTGCTTTGTTTTGATTTGCCATCTGGTTTCGTTGAAAATAAGAGAAGGCATCGATTTGGTCCTAATTCGCAAAGGATTTGGGAATGAATTACCTACTTTTAGTATAGTTCGCTCACAAAAATTTTTAATGGCGAATTCAATAATTCGGCATTTACTTGTTGTGGGAACTACAATTAAGTGAGCGAAAAACGTTATTGGGCTGTCGTGGAAATGCCGCATACGAGCGGTCAAAATTAAAAAGCATGGGAAAGAACGGAATGGCAGCTACACAGCCACACATCCACCGATATAGATGTAGTATAATTAACTTTACTTTATATTATCAAATATATATTTGGTCAAAAACATTAAATCTTGTAGACTGAAAATTTATTTCTTTCATAATGTAGCATGAAAATATCTTATGACAAATAAAAGGAATTGTATGTAATTAAAAGAATTTTGTGTGACAACAATCAGAATATTCAATTCCTGACACTGCCGCTTT